TCGTCCACGTGTTCGCCCCAGCCGCCCCCTCTCCGGGCAACCATGCCCGCCAGGTCCTTCTTCAAAGTTTGAATCGCCCTGTCCACGACCGCCGTCGCATTGCGGTCCGAGGGGTCCTTCTGCCGATGCACCGCCCCTCCCGGCAGGGCGTCCTCCAGCCCCCGGAACTCGTTGCCAAGATCCGTGGTAACAACATAATTCCCCTCCTCCTGGACCAGCGAGGGGATGATCTCCGCCGCCGCCTGCGTTACCGTTTCCGCCCGCTTGTCGGGCAGGGCCTTCGTGGACCATTCAGGACGGCCCAGTTAGGGTTTAATGCTGTTGGGGCTGCTAATCGTGTTTCATAACATAAACTTCTCAGAAGTTCAACAAGTTTAGGGTTCAGGTGTTTAGGGGTTCAGGGTTTCGGGCTACAGCTCGAAAACAAACATTTCCGCACATCATACTTGTAGCTCGGGTTTAGGGACTTAGAGGCCTAGGGCTATGCCTAGAGATGAATATTCCTCAAACCTCACTGGAACTGTTCCACTGCAAGGCTTTAATTTGGGGTACCCAACTTTGCGCCCTTTGAAGAGTTGGTGGAGACCTAACACGCTGAAGCCAAAGCCCCCTCTAAACCCGAAACCCTGGAGCCAAAACCTCAGCTTCAAGAAGCAATATCCGGCCTGATATTCCTGATCAGCCGGCTCCTCACTATAATTCTAGTATTATGGGCCCCCAAAACCCTACCCTAGCTACTAAGGCCCCAAAACCCCTCAAGGAGTTTGTGCTTTTGAGGGTCCCTGTCAGGGTTAGTGTTGCAGGTTCCAAAAAACAGGGGCCTCATTGTTTAATGTAGGGGCCTTGCTAATTAGACTAGGGTTTTTGGGTCTAGTATACTATAGTTATCATAAGGAACCCCAAAACCCTATTCTAATTTTTAAGGCCCCTACATCCCTAAACCCTAAACCCTAAACCCTAATGTTTTTTTAGGCGCCTACATGAACAACATCTTTCCTGAGGCTTCCGTTGTCTTGAGTTCTGCCATACATAGAGACCCAGAGCCCTAAACCCTAACTAAACCCTAAATTCTAAACCCTAAACCCTAAACCCCGTTTTGTTTTTTCAGGCCCCTGTGATACTGTAGGCTTTCGGGTTCAGTTTTCAGTCTTTGGCGGTGCCAGGGTCCAACGGCTGCTAGGGCCTATCGTCCTTCCATGAGTTCTGGGAATCCCCTATTCAGCTCATTTGTGAGGGCTTTATGGATGTCTTCACGCCCTTTTCTTGTTTAATAGCGCTTCTTCTTGTTGGAGAGCTCCTTTGGAAGGAAGTTCATAGGGTTTCGGTTGTTTAAAGGGTTGTCATTTGGGAAGCCTTTTGGGAAGGCATGGCCATTGCCTCCAAGTGGCTTGCGACAAAGTTCAACAAGCATCTCCGCCGCAGAAGAAGGCCCTTAACCCCCAAAGCAGCCTAATATAAGGACAGGAAGCGCTGAACCCCCAAACCCCTAAACGCTAAACCCTAAACCGTACCCCTAAAGCCTTAGACCTCTAAACCCCAAACCCCTAAACCCTAAACCCGCAAACCCCTAAACCCTTAACCCCAGACCCCTAAGGAACCTTCGACCCCTAAACCCCCCCAGCCCAGGCCCGACTTTCCCCTCTTCGGATACAGCATCTACGCGCTGGCCAGCGACGGCGACCTCCAGGTGGGTTTAGGGCTGTTAAGGTTCTTAAGGGTTTAGGGGTTTAAGGGTTTAGGGCTTAGGGAGGAAAACTAAGCAATGGGCCTTACTTACGAGGTAGAATTGGGGTTTATAGGGACTTATAAGATTCTGAGGCCTTAATTGCGAGTTAGAAGAGGGGTTTCTAAAAATTACAAAAACTTCTTACGAAGGCTTGTGCAGGTTTTTCCGACTCGTTCGTGTAGACATGAGGAAGATGCTGGAATGGTGGAAAGGACAGGTGTGCCGAGGCCCAGGTCTGGTGCAGAGTCGTTAGCCACTACCTTAACAACCCCCAAAACCCACCTTTTTTTTGTAGGTTCCTACTATAAACCCTAATATGGGATTTATAGGGACCCTACAAAACCCACTTTTTTTGTAGGTTCCTGCTATAAACCCTATAATATGGGATTTATAGGGACCCTACAAAAAAGTAGGTTTTGGGTTCTTACGGTAGCTCCCGAAGATGAGGCCGACTTCCGTTCACAGCATTCGTCATGTCGCGATCTCAAGGTATGGCATGTTGTGACCGGACTGCGAAGTGTCGCTCCGGTCTGGAAGCCCAAAACCATCTGTCTGCCTCGGAAAGACAAAAAGCCGTACGGAGAGGGAGAGAGAGAGAGAGAGAACACGCAGGCGAAAAGAGATAATGACACACACACACACACGCAATTTTAGGCGGCAGTGCCGCCGCTTGTTTTTTGCTTATTCACAACCAGGACCGCCGTGATGTCGAAACTTCTTGACGCTTCGCAGTGAAGAACTGTAGTTGCGATGACTGCTCCTGGCTTTGCGGGCTGTTTTTCCCCAAGGGTTTAGGGTTTAGGGTTTATGTCTTGCAACGTTGCCATGATGAGCACCGTTTTGTTTTGTGACTCTGGTATCACACAACCCTAAACCCTAAACCCTGTACCTCATCGGCATCAAAGTACGTAATCTCCACCATATGGTTTTATTTATTTGGTTTCTGGAACGGGTTATATGTCTTTGCAAAAAAGGTTTGGGTTGTATTCTGGGAAAACTATATAGAAGAAACAGGGGATGTTGTTGCTGGTTTGTCTGACGTCTAAGGCTTCGGGGCCTGCTTGAGTTGGCATCTCCCCCGGTGACAACCCTAAACTCAAAGCCCTTGAAGCCTGATCCTCTTGGTTTAGTGCTAGTGTAGTCTTCGGGTTTAGGGTTTAGGTTTTAGGGTTTCCTAGCTTCTCCCTCATGAAGAGTAGGGGGAAGGATTTAAAGGGACCCGAGTTCCGAACAAACCTGACAGAGACCTCATGCAAGAACTGTCTCAAAGCCTACAGAACCCTTCCATGAACCCCTAAAACCCTAAAGCCCTCAACCCTGAACCCTAAACCCTAAAACACTGAAGCCTAAACCCTAAACTCTAAAACCATTCTACACACCTTGTAACTTGTAGAAGCCAGCATAGACGTCGTAAAGCCCCGCGAAAGCCCTGATGGGAGCCAGGCCCTCCGAAAGCAGCTGCAGAATATGGAGTCTCATGAGCCTACATTAGGGTTTAGGGTTTAGGGTTTAGGGTTTAGGGGTTTAGGGTTTAGGGTTTAGGGTTTAGGGGTTTAGGGTTTAGGGTTTAGGGTTTAGGACTCCCATGAGCCCTAAGCCCCAAACCCTAAGCTCTAAACTGGAAGCTAAACCCTAAACCCCTAAACCCTCAAACCCCTAAACTCCTAAACCCAAAACCGTAAGCTCTAAACTGGAAGCTAAACTTAGGGGTACTTAGAAATAGTTT